GTGTGTGCGTATGTGTGTGTGTGTGTGTGCGTATGTGTGTGTGTGTGTGTGTGCGTATGTGTGTGTGTGTGTGCGTATGTGTGTGCGTATGTGTGTGCGTATGTGTGTGTGTGTGTGCGTATGTGTGTGCGTATGTGTGTGCGTATGTGTGTGCGTATGTGTGTTAGTGTGTGTGTTAGTGTGTGTGTGCGTATGTGTGTGCGTATGTGTGTGTGTGCGTATGTGTTAGTGTGTGTGTGTTAGTGTGTGTGTGTGTGTTAGTGTGTGTGTGTGTGTATGTGTGTGTGTATGTGTGTGTGTGTATGTGTGTGCGTATGTGTGTGCGGGGAAGTTCGGCGAGGTAAAAAGGTTAGAAGAAGCTGCCGGTGACAGCAGTGGACCCGGAAGGGGTCCCACAAGAGGAAACAGCCTCACGTCCTGGAAAACCCAGGCTTGTGATCGATGCGATGGCGGGTTCCCCGGAGGAGCGGGAACTGGTTTTTCCCCCCCTTCAGGAAAAATCTTCACAGAAACGCAAAAAGAAAAGAAAGATGTGTGTTTCGTGTGTTTCGTCTACCAAACCTCCCCGTGAAGAACTTGCACGTCGCCCGACAGCATTGCAGGCCAGACGTCTTCCGCAGTAGCAATACACTTATCACCCTCCGTACGACATTCGCTGTACCTCGTACGATAGAAGCATCCGTGCCGTTGGGTACGGGTTCGTGTGCATGTGACCGCGGCGCTCCGAATGCACCGGGCCGTGTAGACAGCCTGTGTGTGTTGGGGGGGGGGGAAGACGAACCACAGAAAGGGGGATGAGGAAAGGGAAGGAGGGAATATTAGGTGAGGGTTTTAAACCGGATCGCGGGGGATTATGTCCTGAATAGGACATCATACATTACACGATGTTCCTAAATCGCCGAATCTCGTTCAGAAACTTCCCTTTCCCCCTTTTCTCTTCGGCAACCATTAGGTTGCTGTGGAGCAGTGTTTATAAAACGTTTTTGACCTTAACGGTAATTAGTTAGTGACCAAGTGGTTACTGCTTGTGAGGGTTTTCTTCGGTAAAACCGCCTTACATACATACGGAGCAAAACAACTCCACCCTTGCAAAAAACAGCATAGCAGTACACGACAGCAGCACTTTGATGAAAGATAACAGCAATTATTATACTTTCTTCTCTGTATTCATTAGTTCAATTGGACCAATACCGAGTACAAGCCGCACAAGTAGTAGGTAATCGTATTATTAGAATATTTCGCCGTACTGTACGGTGGTGCCGTACCATGCTGTGCCCAGGCAAGCCACTCGCAGCTGAGGGCGTCCAGGGAAGGGCCGTACGGCGCAAACGCCTCGCCAGCCAGATAACTCCAGGGAACATGGTGGGAGCCGTTGAAAGGCTGAAAGGTGGCGGTATTAGTCGTCATCGTCATCGTCCCCATCGCGGTGGTGGTTTCGGAGACAGCGGCAGCTGACGTGGAGAGGGTACTCGAGGGAGGGGCTTCCCGATGCATCTGTACGTAATAATAATTTTATTGTATAAAAAAACGAAATTGCGACACAAGGCACTTTATGGAAGAGAGATGTTACTAGTTCAAAAAGGCAACGGTACCGGAAGCGCCAAAAGCATCTGAGAAAAACTTCAGCACCAAATCGCCGCCAAGGTCTCTGAGTTTGCAACTTGGGAGTCGGTAAAAGTGAAAAATCCGGTGTGCGGAAAAGCACGGGGGGAACATCTACAGACACCTGGACTTGAATGCAGATGTGCGTGTACGTTTATGCGAATGCATGTTCACGCGCGAGAAAACACATATATGTGCTGTGTGCTCCCGACCCTTGCGCTGTGTTTCGGCTTCGGCCCCCGGCTCTCGCGGCCCACAGTGCAATCTAAGTCATACATACATACATACACACATACAGACACACACACACACACTCAGTTAATCCGCTGCCCCCTTCAGTGGAGAGCCCCCCAGCCCCCCCCCACATCTCGCTACCACCTACCCAGGGATAGTCGCAAGACAGCCGCGGCAGGGCCAGGGTACGACCAACCGCCACAGCAACCGAACTAACTGCCCTCATCACAGAAATCATATGGGCCTTACTCCGCAGCACCAGCGGCGACGTCGCCGCACCGCCACCGCCACTGCTGCTGTCTAAGAACTCCCCGGCGGCGGCGGCGGCGGCGGCGGCAGTAGTGGGATTATGCGGTCCCGGACTGAGGGCTCCGGGAAGCAGTGCCACCACCCGGGGCGGCGCAATCTGTGAGATTTTCAGGATATTGCCGTACATGGATTTCGCGCACAGTTTGAATTGGGAAGTGGATGGAAATTGAGGAGAAGGAGGAAGCAGCTGACACAGCTGACACAACTGAAGGTGGGGTACAGCGAGGTGGTTGGGAGGAGGTACAGCGAAAGAAGCGGTCTCACACACGCATTCCGTACGTCTGACGTGGCATGTGAGTAACGGTATATTCCCCCCAGGCGTCGAACACCATTCCACATGTCGTATTGGGTCGTATCAGGTCAGAGCCAACAGCTCCGAAACCCCATCCGGGGTCCGGGAACCCGCGTAAAACACACACGCACCGCGTGCCCTCCCCGCCGGCTGGCGTGGTGCCCCAATAACCCCGCTCGCATGAGGGAGGAGTGGTGCGCCAAACCCTGCAGGTGACCGTTGGTGGCAAAGTACGGCCCTCCCGGTCCGTGTACGGCAGCCGCCAGGTCCATGTTGTAGTGACCGTTGACCATCAGTTGCAACCGTTTGCCTGGCGCCATCCCTACATGGCCCAACTGGGGGGTTGGTGATGGAGGTAAATAACGGTTTGGGGTGGACATGGCGGTTAATATTCGTTAATTCAGTTGCAAATTAATTATTTTGTTGCAAGTAGTTTTGAATCAGATGTTTATCTGGGCTGGGAACCTGTAACGACCAAAACAACAAGCGCACTAAGATAACGCAAACCCGCACGGAGCCGCTTTTCCCCCCGGTTTCTCCCTTTTCCCCCCCTCCCTCTACCCCTCCCCTTTCCCCGCCCCCCTCCCTCCCTCCTTCCTTCCCTTCCCAACCAACCCCCTCACTCACCACCACGCAGGGATCATTCTCCTCCTCCTCCTCCCCCTTTCCTTCCCATGCCGTGGACGTGTCTGGATCCGGATTTCTAAGAAACGTCGTCCTCAGGAACATGCCCTTGGAGCCGCATTGGGCCCAGTCGCACACCAGGTGGTTCGACAGCTGCGAGAAGCGCTCCGGAACCACGGAGGTGGCCGCCGCCTGGGTGGAGGGGTCCTCGGGATCGGGCCACAGAGGGGGACCTGTACGACAGGGTTTGCACGTTTGTTTGTTTGTGTGTGTGTGTGTGTGTGTAAGACCCTCTATAGGCCGCACACACCCCCTAGCCTCCCCCCCTAAGCTGCAATTCACGGCTTTGGACGACGGGCAACCGCTGATCCTTTTTTTGATCCTTTTCCTACAACATACGATTAATACCCCTCAGCACATACATATATGCATACACATACACATACACACACACACCAACACCCCCCCAACCCACCCGCTTCTCTCATCATTTGCAGGAAGGCACTGGCCACAGGCCCCCGGCTCTCCCCCAGAGCTCTCCCCCCCAGTGCTTCGGGCCACTGCCCCCCGAAGTGAGGTTGCCGCAACACCCCCTCCAGCCCCCACAGCAGGCCCCCAGAGGAGCCCGCATCGGATCCAGACCCGGATCCGGATCCAAGCAGGGGGAGGTGGCAGGCTGGCCCCGGGCGGCTCATGCTGAAGTTCTGAAGCGGAGGGGGAGGACGGGAAGGATGGGGGAACCCGGGGGGGGAGGGCGGGGAAAGACGAGTTAGGAACGTGTGTGTATGTGTATGCGTGTGTGTATGTGTATGCTGTGTATGCTTGTCGTAAAGGAAATGACCTGGAAATAGTCCCTGAAGCTACGACCTCTCCCTCCTCTCCTCTCCCCCTTTCCCCCCTCCCCTCCTCTCTCTAGCCGCCACCCGGCGAGACGTACCCTCCTAGCAAGTTGGGGTCCGACCAATTGCGTGTTGGCATCCAGGAAGCGCTGAAGGGGAAAAAGGGAAGCGGGGGAGAAGGGGGGCCGGATAAATATACGATTATATACCTCTCGTGTGTGGGGGGACGGGAAGGCACCAAAACCACTGAAATACATAGCTAGCTAGCTAGCTAGCTAGCACAGATCCGTTCCAAATCTACAACTGCATGTACGCCCGTCCCCACCAATATGAGGAAGCGCAATCGCTTCAGCCTCGTCCTCCCAACCCCTCTCCCTTCCTTCCTTTTATCCTCATGCCCCTCTCCCTCTCACCTTCCTGCCATCATCCCGGCTTTCCCAGGTCGCATCCAACGGCCTGGGAAAGGAGGGGCAGAGACGGAAGAGAGGAGCTGGAGGGGTAAGGGAAAAGAGGGGAGAGAACGGCTCTGTCTGTATGTATGCCTGTATCCGCGTTGTTACCCGTCAAGGGTGTTCACACGTTCTAGTACGGCATGTTCTAGCACAACACCCGCGACCGGGCCACCTTCAACCGTACTCACTACCCCCTTAAATTACCCTCCCTTTCCCCCCCCAATCCTACTTCTTTACGGCTTGGCATTACTGCTTTCTCTGCTTTTCTAGTCCTGGCGGCTTAGGTAGGTAGTTTTTCCGACATCAGATTCACTACGTCATCCCGAGGTCGCCGTCTTCACAGACGCCTTTCGGTCAGTTCTACGTCTGGTACACTCCCTCCCTCGGCAGCAGCTTCACTCGTTCGTGGTTCGTCTTCCCCCCCCCCTAACCCCCCACCCCCCGGTGGGGATGAGCGCACCTCACCGTCTTTCCAGGCATCGCCAAAACACAGGTCGCCCCGCCAACGCCGAGTAGATCGCATCCGTCACAACGGCCTGCTCCCAGCAGGTGGTGACTGCAGAGGAGGAGCAACGAAGGGGGTAAGGGGGGTAAGATGAAAACCGCTGACGGGTGGTGAGAATGAAGACTTAGCTTTCCTGTCGGATTTGTGAACGTGTGTGTTTTGTTTGGGGGGGAATGGGGGTTATAGGGCGAACCGCTGACAAGTGGCGAAGCAGGTATCGGAGATAGAAGGATACCCCTACACAGAGCTAGGCACAGATACGCACCGCATCAGGTTTTTTCTTGTGTGTGTGACCCCCGGGTGACACAGTTCATGTGAATCGTGTGACCCATGGGTCGTAGGAAAGCTAAATCTTCATTCTTGATTCTCACCGTGGGTCATCCAACCCCCGTGCTTCGTCGATCTGCTGCTCCACTACTCCTGTACCAGCTATTTACGGATTTTCCCCCTCCAGCCTCCTCCCCCTCCCTCCTCCCCCTCCCTCCTTCCTCCCTCCCTCCTCCTTCCCCCCCTCCCTCCTCCTTCCCCCCCTCCCTCCCCCCCCCTTTCCCCCCCTCCCTTCCCCCCCCCTTTCCCCTCCCCCCTGCCCCCCTCACATGTGCAATTCAAGGCGGCGGGCAGTCGGGGCTGCTCCCTCCAGCGGATGTTCCGCAGCACCCCCTCCGACAGCGCCCAGGAGGTGGGGCCGGAGGGGGAGGCGCCGCGCACGTACAGCACCCCCACCTGGAGCCCGGCACCCTCGCGACTCGTCAGGTCCGCACCGTCGCGCTGTACGAAGAGCTGGTAATCTGGTTGCGGGGTGGGGCGGGGGTGGGTACGTAATGTGTGTATGTATGTTGTTACAGGGTGGTTAACTTCGCCAGCGGCCCCCTTTCCCGAGGCAGTCGCTGCTCTCCCCTGCTAGAGGGGCACCCTAATCCGTCACCCCATCCGACTTCAGAATGCATTCGTTGGGTTCGGCAACTCACCACCAGCATCCAACCAAATCTAGCGGATCAACGGCGCATCAACTTAGTTCCTGGTTAGCTCGCGAGTTGATATTATCACGTCCTACATCGTCCGTATGATGGGGGGCCACCTCCCATTTCAACACTCCTCAAACACCCGAGGAGCCGGCAGGCGGATTTGAACCCGGGTCGGCCGGGAGCAGAAGTCAGGCCTTAACCTCTGCCAGCCGGCTGCCTGTGTATGTATGTATGTATGTATGTATGTATGTATGTATGTATGTATGTATGTATGTATGTATGTATGACTTAGATTACGCTGTGGGCTGCGAGAGCCGGGGGCCGAAGCCGAAACACAGCGCAATGTATGTATCTATGTATCTGTGTTTGTGTGTGGAGACGCGTGCGTGTGTATTTTGCATGAGAAGAATGCGCCTGTGTGTATGCATGTGGCTTGTCAAGGAAGAGGAAATCGGGGTGTGTGTTTGTGTTTGTGTGTGTTTGTGTGTGTATGTGTGTGTATGTGTGTATATGTGTATGTATGTATGTGCGGAGAACTTGTAACTTGTAACACATCTCCCATCATAATCCCCCAGCCAACCCCCCAACCCCCTCATTAACAGTAAACAACAACAACAACAACAGCAGCAACAGGAAGAAGAGGGCGGTTCGATCCCTAACCTCGGTAGTCGGGTTGCTGCATCCACCAGTAAAAATCATCCTGCAGTACGACGTCGGTGTCCAGCCCCTACGACCCATGGGTCACAAAACGGGTCGCCAAGACGGCCACGGGTGCGCGGCCTCCTCTTTCTTAATGAAAGTATGGTCCACTGTAACAACTAACAAATGGATAAGGACAACGGCCTATTACAAAGCCGTTGAGTCGCATTATAGATTTTGATGAATGCGCGTTTTCGAAAAGACCACCAACAATAAACCGGTAACCGCCAAGTACTGCATGTCAAAGACGGTACTAAGCGGTACAGTTGCCAGCGACCTAAATCCACCCATGCACGAGCAGCGCCCACCAGTAGGTTGTAGCCGCCCAGTCGTACGATCATCGCGGCGAGCTGTAGCCGCCAGTACGGCGGCTCCTCCAGGAAGAGAGCCACTTGCTGCGGAGCTAGTAACTGCGGCTGTAGCAGCGAAGAGGATGATGACGATGATGACGACGACCCCGCCTGTGCCGTACTCGCGGCGGTGTAGCTGACGCTGTGTGCGAACCACACGCATCCCAGCTCGTCACCGTACAGCTTCCTGTTGGTTACATCATTCATTAAAAAATCATTCTATACTGCTGTGCCTGTGCAGTCTTAAAAGGTTAGCTTTCTCCCCAGAGTTTAGCTAGATGGATGGGGAGGTTGAAACGGTAAATTAGGCGGGAAAAAGTTGGGGTTGGGTGGGAAGAGGAGGAAGCAACGAACATGTCGATATCGGGTGAAAAAGGCTTTTGTTGGGGAGTGGGTGGGGGCCTGGGTGAATGAGATTTGGAGGCCAGCGGCCCAGGCCTGGAGCGCTTTTAGTCACTATGAAGGATCTTGTAAAGATAAGTGGCTCTCAATGGTGTGCGGGACCAAGCGTGGAAGCGTCGGAACCAACGGTTCCGTACGTTAGTTGCATGCAGGAATGCTCTCCGCGAGTCAGTACTACGGTGTGCGCGTAGCCCATGCGCAGCAATCTCCAGATCCATTGCGCCGCGGAGTCGGCCCGGTTCTCATGTGTTAGGATGATCTGTGACCATGAGTGCCAAGGGCGGGCGTTGGGGGAGCACGATGAGGAGTGCTGCATCCCGAGGGACTCCATCCAACGTACCTCTCCCTTGAAACTGCGAGCTTCAAGCATAGATTTCACGTCCGACCATGTTTGCAAGGGCCTTACAAACTGCTTGGTGGCTCCAATACTACAACTCGACGATAAGCGTGCTTTAGGATTGACCGAGAACACGGCATCGCATGAATTAGGAGTGAAATTTGTAATCGCATTGGTTTGGAATTTTTGTTGATGTTCCTTCAGCCGTCTATCAGGTATGAACGCCAGTCGGCGACCATGAGCGGTTGATGTGAAGGCCGGTGCCAGCAGAAGCAACACTATCCCTAAGGCTTGGTTATATAGGATCACACATTTCGCATGCATCACTGCCCCCACTTGGTTGCCAAAGTTGAAGGGTCCGAGCTCTAGGTCGACCTAGTCATGCCAGCTTTAGAGTAAGCTTTGCGTAGCTAAACGGTGGAAATTTGCGACGTTTGCAGCACGGACCGTTGTTTACACAAGAAACGGATTGGTACGACCCGCGATACCGGTGGCACATATTTCGGTTGCCTTGCTTTATTGTTCGCTTTGCAGTGAATAACTCAATAGATCGCGCTCTTCGGCGCGCATATGTGTGGTGCAACTCGCAAAATCAGATAGCAATATGGGAATTAAATTTGCTCCCATTGAATACCATGTAAGGGGACATTTGTTTCCTCTGCGGTAGCAACGGCCTTCAATGTACGGCAAATCACTCCGTTAGACGTATCGTCCGACCATCACGGTGCTCCGACCACTTATGTAATCAAGCATGTCGCCTCAAACCAGATGATCGAACTTGCAATGTATACAACGGCAAAACCCAAATGCCATTCTCTAAGCACGAATCACGTTACATACAGTTGACCCAAACTAGCAAACGGGGTCATAGGCAGACATCCAATCGGACATGCGCATTTCGACGAATGGTCAGCGGCCGTGCTAAGGCCATTGTGTTTACATACGCACGGATCCATCAAGCCGTGTAATATCGACCATTGCCGTACATTACGGCAGCACCCCGAGGTCCTGGAGACGTGGCAGCACGCCCTTGTTCGCGAACCACTCGTGAAACCTTGTAGTGGGGTGGACTTGGTCTGCGTAAGGGGGCGGAGGAGGAGGATGCGGAGGAGGAGGAGGAGGGAGGTTCCGAGGAAGACGGAGATGGAATAGTTTAGCGGACTAACCATTCAGGGGATGTGGATGCCTGGTTGAGGTGGTTGCGACAGAATGCATGGTTGTGGACATACATATATACATACATACAGCAAGGCTTAAGGGGACAGGATAGCACAGATACTGTGAATAGTGGGTACAAAGCTGCCAACTGGAAAGGGGCCGTGAATGGGCCGTAATCAAATTCACACGATGGGTGAGGAGGAAGGGCGTACGATACGTATACCGTACTGATACGATTCTTTGGTGACACGCAATTGGTATGGCGTCCCCAAATGCATAGCAGTGGAAAAAGGTCTTAGGCAAAATTTTATGGGCATCACCAAACTGGCTGTCACAAATGTGTCGTACACCGTGTTAACGGTATCGACCAACAGTAAAAGCCCTCCAGAAGACGCTGTTGGCTTGTAGTTATCTTCGTCTTTTACCCCTAAGTTGATCGGACAAGAACTTTAGCTTACAGGCCCACCCTCAGAAAGCGCGCTCAGAATGGCGCCTAAACAGCTTAAGCTTACTAGCCTTTTACCCAAGCTCGACACCAATGCTCCCATTGAGCTCAGGGCAGGCATTACCACCGTTCGAGTGGCGCCGGAGGTTGAGGCTGCAAGGACTGAGCGCGAGAAGGCACATGCCGATGAGAGGACTTAATGCGCAGCCTTTCCGCGCTGTTCGGACTTTGATAGCAGCTTGGCGGTAGTAGACGCTGAAGCGTAAGCGCGCGAAGCGTGAGCACGCCCGCGGGACGCCCTGGAGCCGTCACCAAAAGTGTATCACAACTGTAGATTTTTCTCGTGACCGTCCCCAAAATTGCATATCATCAAAATAATTTCAGCGTTAATTTTGGGCCTTCCCCAAAACACGTATCACAAAAGAATCGTGGCAGTACGGTACTATAATAAATAAATAAATAAATAAATAAATAAATAAATATATATATATATATATATATATATATATATATAAAATAATAATAATAATAATAATAATAATAATAATGATACATGTTAAGAATAATCACACAGGCAGCCCAAGCAAGCGACATACCGTAAAAGAAGTAGTCCTCTGGATCAGAACATACTTGGATCCCCGGCGTGATGACGATGACAGGCCGTGGGTTCCAGAAGCAAGGGGCCGCTGCATGGAAGCGCATCATCCATGAAAGCAGAGGTGGCAACTCGTTGCGTGGAGCGGTCCGATCAGGTCCAATCCAGCTCACTTGCCATGGACCCGACAGTATACAACTTTAACCTTTTAATCCTTTTTTGGCATAATTTATTTGCTAGCTGAGGCTATATCGTCAATAGAGCTAGTAAAAAATGGTTGGCCATATAAGGCCCACAGTGTTGTATGTGCGGGTGCCGGTCGACTTTTAGGAGGGTGTTGCACCAGTTGGGCTCAACTACTGCCATGCGCGCCACTAACCACCACCGCCGACGTCACAACGCACTGAGCAGCACACCTGTCCACAAAACTTGACATTCCCATGCCGAATCTATCTTGGGAGTTGATATGTTACTTACTGTCAATGTATTTAAAAGGCGGCTTGACCTCATTAACCTCATTACTTACTGTCAATGTATTTAAAAGGCGGCTTGACCTGGTACGCCCCATTGCTGACCCAATCCGTGTTGCCAAGCACCCAGATCTTCACACCGGCCCCCGGAGTACCCGCTGGGGCAGCGGCCAGCGTCTTGTTCAGCTGTTCCATGGCAGCCCGAGTCTCGTTTCCCAAAAAGGCTTCAATTGCCAGAAACTGCAGTCATGAAAAGTAGGTGGGTACGACAATGTGAGGGAACGTCAGGCGAGCGAGAGGGACACACATACGTGTGACTCACAGCACGTACACGCACAAGAGTGTGTGTGTGTGCGTGTGTATGTGACGGCACGGCTGGCCACACGGGCAGCGAAATACAGCAGCAGAGCCGGGGGCAGGGGATTTGGATGGGGAAAGAAGAGCAACGTTTAGTCCAGTCGCAAATATACAGACATATATACGGGTATGCTGTCCCACCAAAACCTCGGTAGGTGGAAAAGAAATCGCGCATTTGTGTTTGTGGTGACGGCGCGCAGTTGTATATGTGGTGACGTGAAGTGGGACCGATGAACAAGCACCTCCGTGGATTATCTCCTCTCCTGGATCCGGAAGGAAGGACGTCGCCATGGTGACGGGAAGCGAAAGGATTCCAGATAATTCGTGTGCGGTTGTTACAGTGGGCTCCAGATAATGGCATGATGAGGAACATGATACGTGTATGCTTCTAGAAGCTAATTGGGATTTGTACAGCTACTACAGTTACTACAGCTACTACAGGTGTCCGTGATGTCAGTTAGACGCAAGGGCGGGTTATACATCGACAACAAACGAGGTGCACATACAATCGACACGACCCGACGGAACCTGGCAGTAGTTATTGGCTGTGTTGCCCAGCCACCCGTATCATAAGAAGTGTATAAATAGTGTGTAAATAATGTGTAAATAATAGTGTGTAAAATAATGTATAAATACTGTATATAAATGTTATAAGTACTATTTACCATTATAACTATAATTACTATAACTACTATATAGTATGTCCCTGGACCACTCACCACCGGCCGATACTCTGGAGGCGCTGCAGGTGATGTGTGCAGCGGCGCGATGGGCAGGATGACGATATCCGTGACACCCTGGATGGCGGCAATAGCAGCTGCGCCCTTTACACGGCATGTGATGGTGTCTCTAACGAGCTGTGCGATTTCGGCCTGTGTGGTGGTGCCGTTAGTAGCTTGAAGATTCTCAAAGAAGAACTGCGGGACCAGGGAGGGCAAAAGAGGGAAGGACGACGACGGGGGGACGCGGGTTGAGTGCGGCGCGGGCTGGGCTGGAGTGAGAAGAACACCTTGGCCCTACGCAGGGGCAGAGGGAGCGACAGAGGGTGGGGGGATAGAGAGACTGGCAAACGAGGACGATAGGGGGAAGGACAAACGAGGAGGCTGATGGCTGTACACAGTAATCATTGTGGACGATGTGACACGGAATGTGTAGTATCCTGGGTATATCATGGGATTTGCATCCACAGATCGGTTCTTTTCTGAAAATTCGTAATATGACAAGCGTTGGCCGTTTCCGATATGATGGTTTGTGTCCAGATGCATGTCCATGGCGGGCCGCGGTGTGTCCGCCGCGCTTTGAGCCGTTGCAGCGTCAACATCACAGCCGCTGAAGTAGAACTATCTGACCCAAACCTACGTTGATCAGCTTCATGCAAGTAAGGTTACACACAACACAGTGTGTATGTACGGCAGTTGTCGTACGTACCAAGAAGTCATTCGTTCCCAGATACTGGAAGACCAGCGTCTTGCTACCGCTCAGGCGGACCTTCTTGGAAGCTACGTCAGCGGTGAGCGCTGCAATCTGATCCGACATGTCCGTAATGAAGCTGATAATTAAAAAAGTTCAGGTACAGGATCGGGCAGCCGAACATCCGGAGGAAGTTTAATTTTTGCGAGGGGGGGCGAGGAGGCCATGCATGCGTATTAGTCAATATGTCGGGAAAGGGACGTAGCTAGGTAGAGGAATAAACAGAGCTGGGAGAGAAACAACGGAAGTAGGAAATGAACGGAGCAGTAGCAGAGAACGGGCAGAGCAGTAGCAGGAAACGGACAGGGATAGGTGTTCGAATGAGGATTCGTTTATGACTACGACATAAAACCCGAAGGTCCCTGTTAGGTGAAAAAAGGAATGGACGGGCCCTCCAGGCATTCCCCTCCCCTAAGCCTCAGAAGCATGACCTGTGGAAAATACACAGGCAGACATACAGGGGAACATAGTTTTCACCTAGCTAGAACAGGCGGCCACTATGCTTCGGGATCCCCGCGGTAGTTCTTGCAAGTTATGATAAAGCTTTGCCTGATGACTCAGAACACAACAATAAAGAAGCTGGCGGCACGAATTCAGCCGCCATAGCTAACGTACTTTTTCTCCCTAACCTACATCAACTCGCACCCTGGACAGGTAAAGTCCAGGGATATCAGCAACCGCGAACAGCTAGCCATGAGCAATTGCATAGCAGACGCTGCAAGTACCTTCAACTACCGACAGACAACAATAGCCCAGCTGGTACCATGTGGCTGAGATGTGAACAGTAATTAGTAGTGGGATGGCAATACGCACGTACGAGCCGTACGGCCATTGACTCACGCCAGCCAATCTGAAGTTCGTACTGCGACATACTGCGGACTTACGGTGCAGCAGCCCGTGTTAGAGGACTCGGACAGGCAGTTGCGCCAGGGAACGCGTAATTTTGGACCTGCATCGCGTGATCAGTTTGATTATTGTTATTGTTATTATTGTTATTGTTATTATTGTTATTGGTGTTACTGATCTTGGGGCAGGGCTGACACAGCAGGTTCGTTCTATCGCTTGGATGGTATATTTCATGTGTTTCGCTGCTGTTCAGCAGTACGCGGCTACAGCCATAATACCCCAATAAATCAGTCCAGTGATAGAAGTATGAGAAGAATTAAACTTGTCGTTGAATAGCGAAATTATTAATCAACGCGGTTTCGTCTTATGCGTGTTATCCGGTTGTTGCTTATTACAAGTTACAAGTTACAAGTTCCGCACGCATGTGCGGGTGCGTCCATAAAAGCCGGGGGGGCCATGGACGTTATATTGGTATTGATGCGGGTACGCGGGAGGCCATCATCATCCTCCCTCGTCCGCTTCAAGGAAAAGCGCCTCAGCGCGACGTGCCTGGCCTCCCAGATTTCCGAGAGGTACCTGGCCAAGGCCAGGGGTGGCGCCTCAGTCATAATGGTGCGCATGCCGCGTCCCTTAAAGACAAGGGCACCATCGTACTTAGCCCTTATGCTCTTATAAGCGGTGCGCTCACGTCCATTACGCCGATTAACCCTAACTCCTAACAGCCTAACCGGAAATGCATGAGCACTTGATGCAGTCGCTTATCTGTCCGAATAGTATCGGTGACAGCAGAAAACAAAGATACATCGAAACATGCATGTTAATCATCACTTACCACATACACGCAACCAGAAGGATGAAGCAGCAAAACACGTATAACGATAAATAAACGGAACTGCTGCCGGGACAGCGACTGGAACCGTTTTTTGGCAGCGGCCGAGGAATCTCTATCTAAGAATCTATCGATGCATGCGCGCATTAAATCAACATCCATAACCATATCCTTTCTTCGGATCAATGCTTGCCATACATATTCGTACCCGGATTCTTGTCTGGGGATACTGTTTCACTGTCTTGGTCAGGTAATCCACCCAGTTCGGTCCATTGGTGCACCTACACGTTTACATACATACATATATACATACATATATACAAGTACGAACCCAAGCAGCAAAAAATTAAGGCAGTTCGCCTAGTACTGGTGAAGTACGACAATAATCGGTGGCCTTTCCTATCTGTGTACGTGTGACGCTAGCGCTGCCGCTGCTGCTGTGTACTGCTGCTGCTGCTGCTGCTGCTGCCGCCGCTGTAATGGTTAGCATTTGCGTAGGTTTGCAGTGCGTATATGCACATTCACCTGCTCTTCGTGAGCCTGGAGCCCAGTGTAACCATCACAAACACGTGCTGCCTGGCGACACTACTTGCATTTGATTGAAAACATAATTCTATCTATCCACACTGCGGTTGATTTGAAATCATGTGTGTGTGAGCGAGGGAGCTGTGTACCGATGCGGGCGCAGGAACCTGGATACTGCTGCTGCTCCTGGGATACCAACTGTTCGCTTTTTCGACTCTGCCCGCAACCCATCGGATGCTGCAAATGCAATGCATGCTAGGCACTGCGGACGTTAATTCATAATTGCAAATAAGTTTATGAGAAAGCTCCATACTGCAAAATTAATAATCGCGCTCCCCTGGAAAGATATGCAGTTTGGACTACGCAATCGTCCAGCCATCCTTGATCGTCCTGCCTGGCGGACCGCCAAGCAACTAACGGCGTCAGTAATTCCAATACATGTTTTAATGTATGAAATTGTTCTGTTTGGAAAGCTTTATTGCGGATCTGTAAACAGAACAACGGCGTTTTCAAGCCATAAACCGCAATAGTTGTCGGCATTTCTGCTTCGTAAGCATGGACTCGTAAGCAAGCTCATATTTTTGTACCAGCGCCAAAGCAAATAGTAGCATAGGGGGAAGAAACAGACCTGCCCTTGTAATAAATGCTGGGATTGGGAGCTCCAAGCATAGCGAATGCGTTGCCTGCATTGTGAAGGCGGCATGCGAACCAAACCGCGTTAGTTACCGAGCTGCATTATGTCGGGCCAAATTTGAGTCAGCAGGGATCACCATCGAAACCGCAGTAAACGGAACCTGGCACAACTCCATTTTCCTTCCTTGACTAAATGTGCACTGTCAGACAATAATATTTAAATCTCTTGATTAACTGCGATAAAGTTACTAACACGGCAGGAAGTTATGACCGCTCTATGTCCTAAGCAACACCTGCTGCATAGGCCGCTCATTATAAATCTCGAAACATAGTAATCAAGCAAGTTAGTCTCAGGGATATGAAGAGCAGCTGCAGCATGTATGACTTCATGTCTGCAGACAGCTGTCGCTTACCCTGGTCCGTTAGGCTGTCGCCAAGGAAAACCATGTTATACCTTGTAAATCCTGAAGCTGGCGGAGAGGGAGGTATCCGGATAGCATTGCACAGATGCGCAGCAGTGAAGCTAAGGAACAAGACAGCAGTAAGGGACCGGGCCCTAAGTATAGCCATTTTCCCGCAGGTTTGCAGCTTAAGATGCATAATAAATTCGGAGGGTGCGCGTTTGTGTAACTGCGCACTTTGTTATTATAATGTCGGCATTGAAGCAGTACGGTCTCGTCCGTCGCAGCTGCACCGCTGCCGTAATAAGTCAGTCTAAAATGCATGCTATGCACATAAGCACATATTCTTACTAGGTCTACCCAAAATATCATTCAATCTATAAATCGGAGGCCTGACGTCCAACGGATTGGTGCTGCTGTGCATGTTGTAACATGTAAGCAGCAAGTGCAAGTCGCCAGCAGGCCAGCAGCAGAAGAGCAGTGGCCATTGCCGTGGACTAAAGATGGAAGACGTGTAATTACATCATTACAGTTTTGTGTAGCACGCGGCTCTGCATGTTCGTAGAGAGCATGCCTTGGTTATTACATTTTACGTCTGCACACTTTAGGCGGATTTCCCCACGACCTAATTGTTGCGGCTGGAATAATTTACACGGAACAACCGGGAATGGACCTGGCTATCGTCCTGGAATATCTGGACTTGGTTACGTTGTAGCAACCTTCGGTTGGTCCAGGATTACTGAGTTAAGACATGATTGGTCGTGTTCCAACCAAATTTATATCTGGACGGTCCCAGACACGGTTATTGTTAGCGCATAATAGCGGCGAGAGCCGACAGGTTACAGGACGGATTCGCTCCGTCAAGGACTGGGCTCTGTTCTGAGTAAGGAGCGTCAGAAGCGTAGGCTTCTGGAATCTCTCTCACTGGGGTATCGTTGGTTTAATATCTAACCCAGGCTTCCTCCCGAGTATAAATACTCGTTGCTTAGGAGGCCGTAACAACTTCTATTGTCCGATGTGCCTTCAGACCTACATTGGTCGCTCGAACCGATGTGTCTGTAGGTATCTCAAGTTCGTGTCATTCCTTGGTTAGGAAGCACGTCTAAACTCTAAGATATTCGTAGACTGTTCGTAGCTCAGTCTTATCAAGTCGTGCCTTAGTCACGCAGCGATTAAGTTCTGTAACGCTCTAACGCGCTACAACATCTGCCCCCCTTTCTAGACGCCTGCGTCCACGCGGCGCGCAGTCCAATGGGCATCGATAAGAGATCTGTCGGGGAAAGCAGGTTCTTCAATCCAACTGTTATTCTCATGTCCATGACCAACCCATTTCACGAGATATCGTGTCAGGGTTCGGTTTCGGAGTTTCCGTTGATCATGATCTAGAATGCGTTCAGGGGTCCATACAGAGGTAGAACCTTCAGGTTCAATTCCGACTGTAGGTCGAGGTGGTTGTACGGTGCCATCAGATCGATAAGGCCGTATCAACGATACATGGAATACGTTATGGAAACGATATTCCTCTGGAAGAGTCAATCTAGCGGCAGCAGGATTGATCATCTTGTCAATCGTGAAAGGTCCAATCCATTTAGGCATCAGCTTCTTCGAACCTTTAACTTAACCTTTCTGGAGGGTTAAGTTCTTCGTACTGAGTAAGACTTGTTGTCCTTCAGTAAACGACACATCACGTCGTCCTCTATTCTCTTGCTTAGTCATTCGATCTTGCGCCGCCATCAAAGCAGATTTAGCAGCAGCAAGTCTCTTGGCATACGTATCAACATAACCTTTGGCAAAGGGAACTGTGTCACCGAGTTCGAGTTGTACAGGGGTCTTAGGATGATAGCCATAATTCAGGAAGAATGGACTAACTCCTGTCGAGCGGTTCTTCGAGTTATTAATCGCAAATTCAGCCGGTCCGAGATATATCTCCCACTGTGAAGGTTCCTGATCACAGTAGTTTCTCAACATGTCTCCAAGGACGCGGTTAACTCGTTCTGTCTGACCATCAGTCTGAGGATGGAAAGCAGTACTCATCGCCTGCTTCACTTCTAGCCTCTTCATGAGAGAGGTCCAGAAGGCACCAGTAAACTTGGTGTCACGATCTGAGACGATGGTGTCTGGTAAACCGTGTAGCCGTACCACGGTGTCACAGAATAAATCTGCAGTTTCTTCTGCGTCTATTTCTTCCTTGCATGGTCGTACATGCACCATCTTAGTCAGTCGGTCTACAAATACCACAAGGGAGTTGTAACCTTTTCTAGTCGAGGGCAATCCGAGTACAAAGTCCATTGAGACGCTGCTCCAGGGTCTTTCAGGAATCAAAGTCTGCGACGTCAGCTTTCAACGTAGGCCACCAGAAATTTCGTTCAACCAAATCAATGGTTCGATCTCGTCCAGGGTGTCCTGACAAGGTATTCGTGTGGCTTCGTTCAATAATCTCTCGTTTCAAGGCGGGGTCATTGGGCACCACGATGCGGTACTCGCACTCCCCCCTTTCTATCTGAAAGAATCCGAGAGGATTCGTCAAAAAGAAACGAGTATGATCTGGGTTCTGGAAATGAGCGTCTCTTTTTGTAGCATCGGCAATACGTTGGATGAGTGGGTCCAGCATACGTCCCTGAGGGCGACGTGTGGTAACCGCATTGAATACCACTAGAGATGCCAAGGAGGGATGGCGTGACAAAGTGTCGGCGACCACGTTCAATCGTCCTGGTCGGTAAATCCACTCAAAATCAAATTGAGCCAGGAACTCAGGCCAATGGGCTTGTCTGCGGCTCAAGTTCGACTGAGTCTTAAGAAAGATCAGCGGATGGTGGTCTGTGACGAGATTGAAAGGTATGGAACTTTGTAAGTAGCATCGCCATTCTCTCAAGGCGTTGATTACCCCAAGTAGCTCCTGTTCACCCGTGCTGTAGTTCCGTTCAGCAGGGGAAAATTTCTTACTTGTAAAAGCAACCGGTCGGTTGTTTTGCAGGAGTACTGCGCCAGTGCCGTTCAGCGAAGCATCTGAGATCACTTCGAAAGGCTTCGCAAAATCGGGGTAATCCAACAAAACGTCGTTCGATAGTCGAGCTTTGAGCGTTTCAAAGGCTCGTATGGCTTGTTCAGGCCATTCATCGGGTAATCTTTTCGCACTGAAGAGATCTGTCAGAGGTGCAGCAAGGGAGCTAAAACCTGCGATAAATCGCCGGAAATAGTTCGCAAGGCCAACGAAAGATCGAAGTTCAGAGATGTCCTTTGGCAATGGCCAATTTTGAATGATCTCAACCTTCTTGGGAGATGCGATTGTTACAGTGGACCCCGAACGGGTCGAGTGCAGCGCCCATAGGAACGCCTCCCGCACAACACTGTGGGCTTCTTGGGATCCATACGGATACCATCTGCGTTCACGACATGTCCGAGATAGTGGACTTCGGTCTTCCAAAAATCGCACTTGGAAAGCTTGACACGTAACTGATTTTCCTCAAGGATTTTTAACACCCTTAAATGGCGTGCGTGTTCTTCTGGGGTCTTGGAAAATATCAGAATGTCATCCAAGTAGACCGTAACAAATCGGTTCAAGTACGGTGCAAAGATGCGATTCATCAAATTCTGGAAGGTTGCGGGGGCGTTCGATAGGCCGAAAGGTAATACAAGCCACTCGAAGTGTCCGAGAGGGGTTGTGAAAGCCGTCTTAGGAACATCTGGAGTAATCCGCAACTGGTGGTAGCCAGAAGCCAAGTCAAGGGCCGTGAAAATCGATGCACCAGCTAGACGATCAAGTGTATCATCAATCCGGGGCAACTGGTATCGATTCTTGATGGTAATCTTGTTCAAAGCCCGGTAATCAATGCACATGCGTAACTCTCCGGTTTTCTTAGTCACGAAGAGGATCGGAGCGCCGAAAGGCGAAGTTGAAGGACGGATAAATCCTTTCGCAAGCAAATCTTTGACTTGCTTTTCTACTTCCTCTCGTTCTAACGGCGAAAGTCGCCACCGGGGTCGGAAAGTCGGTTGCGCATTCGGTTCCAGCGGGATAGTGTGGTTGACACCTCTATCCGGTGGTAATTCTGTAATCGGTGCAAAAACATTCGGAAATTCGTTGATAATCTCCACAAGGGATTCATTCTCAGTAATGTGTGGTGGCAGACCCACAGCATTAAGCGTTGGTGTGTCTGTGAGCAGGTATGCGGTTTGCTTCACGACAACAAGCAACGATCGACAGCCAGCTTCGTTCAAATCTCGATAAATTCTCTTCGGCGAGACGATCTTAGTTGTCTCAGGTCGTTTTTCAAGAAGCGTGACTGTTGCATCAGAGACCGTTACGGGAGATGGCGCATTCCCCGATCGTAACGTAACCGAGAGTCCCGTGGGTCGTCTTAGTCTCAAGGAACCTTCCGCGGGTCTTAAATCGGCGCGGTATCGTCTCAGAAACTTCTGACCCAAAACAACATCGGCGGACGTGGTTAACGTCGGCAACACGAGGAAACGGACTTCGGCTCGAAATTTTCCGATGCGAAGGGAGGTTTTGCATTCACCAACGATGGACGCGTACGATGCATCAGCAAGCCGTACCGGCGCGCATGGCGAAGGTTCTAAGGCTAATCCAAGACGGTCTGCCAAAGCCTTAGCGATGAAACAGTGCGTTGTGCCTGTATCGGGAAGAATGCGTACTGAAGTCTCACTGAGTCTTCCTGAGAACAGGTCTAAATACGCATCTTTGTCTGTCAAGCAGCAACTCGGCTCCAATCGCTGTCCCGGGGAAGGGGAATCATACCATAGTTGCAAAGGTTCTGTCAGTCGAGGAGGTTCTGGACATCCTGGGTAGGAAGCTGTGTACAGTCGAGTGCCTTTCGGAAAAGTCCGAATCAAAGTCATGGAAAGTGCGAAACTTCCCTGGCTTTTCAGGCACTAAAGTACAAGCTGCCATACTGGGATCATGTTCTTTGCAACGTCGATAGTATCTCAGATAAGCGTAGAGCTTTCTAACTGGCGCATTAAGCCATAAGGTGTGGCCGGAGCAATCGAGCGACAGAAATTGACGCGATTCTGATCCAAAGGATTTACAGACGGCCGTGTTGCCATCGTCACTAGCACAAGCGTCAAACGTAATCTTACGTCCAATTCTGTTTTCAATTGTCGCAATGATTGCCGGGTCGATTCGCATTCGCGGGCACGTGTTGTCTAGAAATTCTACACGCCCTTCTATTCTCGAATCGTCATCATC